CTCTTGTCTAAGACGCTAATGCAAAAAACGCCGGGCCGAGATAAAGGGCCGACTGTGCTGGTCTGGACCGCACTGAGACCGGGACAAACAGGCCCTGAATGTGGGGAACTGGTTCCTGTTGGGAATCCCACTGCTGAGGGTTAATGTGTCCACATGGAGCTATAACAGCGCAGAGTATGGTGTGACCTGTGACCATCCACACGTTCCTTCACTCTGTAAAAGCAATTAGTGACACGTCCGCCTCTCAGGAAAACCCTCCTTTATAAAATCACTTCACAGGTCTGAGACTGTGGAGGTTTAATGGTCTGTGGTGGAGGAGAAGTCCCAGGTTCAACCGGCAACACCATCCCATGACACGACCCCCCCAGAGCTCATTAAAGGATCATTCAGGTTTAGATAAGACAGATAACTGCTGACAGACAGACACTACGTGTATGTCATATATATATATGTATATACTGTATGTACGTATATAAACAGTGGGGTCTGCGGTCTCAGTCACTGTATGCATTAACGATATACTGCCACACAAGATTCACACAAACTAACTTTCTCTTTCTTCTCTTTTAAATTTTCAGGCTGCAAAACAAATACTTGTACTAGCAATGTGCAATGGCAAGAACGTCATTCATTCATTCATTCATTCATTCATTCATTCATTCATTCATTCACTCACTTACCCATTCATATTTCCAGAGGACAGCTCGGGAGACCACACAAAAACATTACTACAATGAAACAATTGATAAATAAAAACAAAAACAGGCAGTAAACATGAAATAAAACCTTGAAAATCAACAAAAGGCAAAGATGATGTATTTCAATCAGGAAGTTAACTTGAATACAGAAACTTTATTTATAAAGACCTGACCCTGTCAACGTGCTGGGACAGAGCCATACCAACAGAGAGAAAACAGGTAAAGGACGCTTAAATAGTCTTCAGCGAAGTTGATGATTGGATGATTCAGAGGCGGAGTCTCAGTGTTATGACAGAAACCACCAACTCGTCCAACCTGAACAACCACACAGGTCGTTTTTTTAAACCCTTTGATAACCCTGAGTGTCTCCTGAAATAGCGCCCCTACGGCGGCATGCGTACCATACCTCGGTTGTCGAGGTTACCATAATAAACATGCAACTGTACCGAAAAAGCAGCATACCGGTCGTTGCCGTGGTTACTATAATGGTCATGGCTTGGTTAGGTTTAGGAAAATAATGTGATTTTGGTTGAAATAAGTTCTTCCTCAACATTAGACAATCTTTGATGTCATGGTTATAATAATAACGAACGGCCATGGATAATAGAAACAACATAAACAGCTACTTTCACATGGGAATCGAACACTGCTCTCCTGTGTCATATTCATCCATCCACCACAACCTTCTGCTGACGTGGACTTAGTTTCTCTTTATACTACGTCACTGCACCTTTCCCTTTGCTCCTGTCATAATTACTGCAACCACTAGATGTTGCCTAGCAACAGACGACCTGCGGGCTTGTTTGTTATAGGAGGACAGTCTCCACTAAAATCACCAAACTTTTACCGTGACAACAGCCTCAACCAGACATCATCTAAAAGCTTCTGACTGACCTGGACTTTGACTTCCTCGTGTTAAAATGACCTGGATTTAACACTTTCACCTCGTCTGCATGTTTAAAGGGATAGTTGTGTGAGGTAGTCATATATACAGTACTTGGTAGATATTCTGATCAGCATGCTACCAGTTAGCACACCCGCACTTATGCAGAACTTTAAACCCTGATAAAATTTAAACGAGTAAGTTGAACAAAAATTCACACCCCCTACCGTTGTCATGAAGGAGGAAAGTACCTGTAGAGACCAGTTTTTGATCCAGGCTGTAAACATTTTTGCTGTAAAGTTGGACATCTTAACATGGGAGTCTATGGGGATTGACTCACTGTTGGTGCCAGACTCTAGTGGTCATTCGGGTAAGTGCAGTTTTTGGTACTTGCGTGTTTTTCAGCCTTGAAGGTTGCCACTTGGGTCAGCTGAGTCAATCAGAAAGCTGTGTAATACAGTGTGCTCCGTAGGTGAACTTGTGCGTAGGAATATGGTAGTTCAGCGGTTGACAAATGTAGTGCCAAAGGAAAGTGATGCTTTCACGGGACGATAAACCGCTGAAAATATTCTACAGTCAGCTGGATCAGACATGACTCTGCAGAGGATGGAGACAAATGTTCCTCCACAGACTTGTGTTTTTTTTTTTTTTATTTGAGGCTTTTTTCCAAAGGGCCCAAAAAAAGGGTCCCCCCCCCCCCCCCCCGTCTGCAGTTGAATTGCAGTATTTGGGTAATTTTCTGGCCCGCTGATGTGACAGTGTGTGACGGGCGCCTCCAGACTGTCATATCTCTGTGGGGAGGAAGTCAGTGGCACAGAGGCGATGCCCAGATAAGACTTCCTCTCTAACTGGAAACCTTTGATCCCTCACTTCCACGTCAGGGGTCACAGAGAAGGGGGAGGGAGGGCCACGGGGGACTTCAGGTCACGGTGAGATGGATTTGGAGGCCCAGATGACTTCCAGGTTCCAGGAAAAGTCACAACCGAACCCTGAGGTGAAAGAGCCAGGCGGTCTGAGCAGAGTCCAGGACTGAGTCTAGACCTGAAACACTGATCCAACATTATAAAGAAATAATATATGAATATCATCATTATTATTATTATTAATAATAAGATGTCAGATCTGAACAGGATCATCTTTGTAAGGGTGGATTTATACCTGACCTGTTGTATTGGATCAGTTGATCTTGTGTCTTCCTTGTGTACCTAATAACACAGGTGCGCTTCAGTAAACATATACAGTATGTATACACACATCATTTAAAAAGCTGGTGCAGATTGAAATTAACATCTGTTTGAAACAAAATATTCCAGCTGCTTAAATAAATGAATAATTTTTATCTTGATCATTCATCCAGGTCCTGAGTCCTGACCCTGACACTGATCCAGGTCCAGCTCATGTTAATTAATGAATCATATCATTAGGAGGCTCTGAGCCTCTCTTCTGATTGGCTGACTGTTTTCTGAGTGATCCAATAAAAATATAGCAGATTTCAGGAAACACTCCTTCAAGGGAGTGGGCGGGGATGAGGGGGCAGTAACTGCTTTCTTGTGACATCACAAAGTTACATTAGTCCTGACTGCTCGTTTTAAGGCTCAGGGGCCAGTAGCACAAAACACCTTAAGTTAAGATTTTCTTTAGTCTGAGTTAAGATTTCCTTAAAATAAAAAATGGTTGCACAAAATATACTTAAATCTCCTTAAGGTTTCCTTAAAATGTAGTAAAATGAAGTAAGTATTTAAGGTTTTCTCCTTATCTAATGCCAGCAAACAAACCACTGTAAACTCTCTATTACTGCCGTAAATTTAAATGTTTTTTCCTTAACTAAGGAAACTTTTTAAGAAATTCTAGATGGTCGGACAAATCATAAACTGACTGCGAATCAAATCTATGGAGCAAAATCAATTCCTCATCGTTGAAGCTCCATCAGGTTCTTCTGATCGAGGAAAATTCTTCTTCATTGATCACCATTAACTCAGACATGTTGAGGTTAAGATACAATCAGAGGAACCTTAAGTTTTTTTTCCTTATTTTGGTTACTAAGATCTTAACGGACTTCTTAAATATAAGTCTAAGATAAGGAGAAAACCTTAACCCTCTGAAACTCAAGCATTGATGTTATGGATGTCATTTTCTTCTCCTTTTTAAAGTCTTTTTAGGAAGCCTCTGATCAAGTAAATAACAGGTTTTTCATTTTTTGCTTTTTGGGGGATTGTGTGAAAACGTTGCAAAATTGCAACAGAAGGTCTTTGTGGTTGCAAATATCAGCAATCTAATTTGAACAAAGTCCATGATGATTCAATACTATCGAAATATCTGTCTCAAAAATGAACTTTATTAACTTTAACTTTGTTTTCTCTAATTAGAGAAAACAACTGTAGAAAATGATGTTTTTTTTGTTTTGTTTTTCTGTCTCATTCTCATGAACGTGATATCTCAAGAACCCCTTTAGGCAATTTCGTCCAATTGGACTTAAAGATGAAAGAAGAACTGATTACAGATTGGTGGTCAAAGGTCGAGGTCATTGTGACCTAACAAACCACGTTGCAATTTAAATACTTAAGAGAACATTTAAGGAAACCTTAAGGAGAAGACTTGTTTTTGTTTTGTGCAACAGTTTTTATTTTAAGGAAATCTTAAGTTGGACTTGATGGAAAATCTTAAGATGCTTCCTCCACCTGAGCCCTTTTCCCTGCAAAAACCACCGTGCAGTCAGATCGTCACTCGGCCTCTCGGGGTAAAAACATTACGTCATGATCACATTCACTTATCATCAAAAGCCTTGTCCTGCCGTTTCCATTTTCCACAGATTCCCTGTGTTTTCCCTCGTCTTCACTACAGACTCTCACAGATCCACATGTTCTGAATCACTTTTTCCTTTGATTTTCCAGAACACGGCGGCGATACGGACTCCTCCACTTCAGTGTGTGTTCCCTCTGATGTTCCAACACAACGTCGCTTTAATCTTAATAGTGAATCTGAAGGCCTCCCAGGATGAAGGGCTAACAGGCGGGCTGCTTCGTTCGTGACCCAGCCAGATAAAAACCGAGGAGAGAATAAAAAAAGCAGCTCTTGTTTGTGGGGTATTTAATTCCCCCACAAACAAGAGCTTTGATGGAGAGACAACCGGGGCAATTTGGACGCTCCATTTGGGTGAGAAGGCTTCAAGGTGGCAGAGACGGGTCAAACACACGAACACACGAAGCAACCGTTCATCTGGCTCAGATTTCATCGCCTCTGACCCGCACAACAACCATCGTCTCTGAGAAGCCAGAGGAAGAGGAGGACGGCGTCTGTACGTCCTCGTCCTCAAACACAGGCCTGGCTGTGAAATACAGATGTTGAACCAGATGTTTTCCCTGCTCACTACAAACCAAAACACACAATCAAATGTCCAGATGAACTGTTGAATGAAAATGTCACAGACTCATACACAAAGAGGTGGGATGAGGGGTTTTTAAGGGAGAAGGTTCAGGGCAGATCTGCTCCAGGACCAGTCTGAAGAGTCCACCTGCCCAAAGACACAGGTCCAGAACACTCCAGATCCAAGCAACACAGGACTGAGACGTCCTGATGGGGTCACAGCTGAGACACGAGGACAAGGGACCAAGCAGAAACCTCCAGGTGTGAAAATGATGCCAACGCTGTAGAACCAAAACCTTTAGTTCCTCGAATCACCACTACAGTCCGGCTCCAAGAGCTCAGGGGCCCCACAACCACATATTTAATACACATCACTTGATGCTCAACTGAATATCAACATGTCAGGTCCTCCATCCCGCAGCCTGTGGTCCTGGTCTCGTAGAGGGACTCTGTGTCAGAATGTGGTTTTGCTTTAGTTTTGCTTTTATCAAATCGCTTTAATTTTTCCTAAAATCAACAAACAGGAAACCTCCTTCAGGTCGTTTTATTCCATCAGACCGACAACATTTTCACGATCAATACGATAAAAAATCTGATAGTTATTGCTTTTGATTAATGGTTCAGCTAGTAAAACGTTTAACATGTTGACTCGCTGTCAGAGAAAATGACCAATATTCAGATGTTAAATGGGACCAGTGAATTTTTAACGGTTTCCAGTCGACTGATGGAGCACTCAATGCTGACATGTGTAGTGGGGGTAAATGTAAATAGGGGCCCCAACAACAAATGCTTGGCCCCTCAGGAGTTGAATCCGGCCCTGACAGAGCAGCTAACATGGCTGCAGACCCCAACACAAACATGGAGAGTATCTTCACTGCAGAGACGTCAGACACTGCTGGACTCTCCCAGACTCCACTGAATAACTGGATGTGCGTTTCCACAGCGTCGTGCATTCTCACTGACGGACTTGTTGTGTGCAGAGCCAAGTCCTTGAGCGAGGGGCTAGGGAGCAGAGATCCTGTGGCTTGGACCGCGGCTCTGAAATGCTCCGAGCGCTCCAGCGGGAAAACTCCCTGCCAGCGGTGGTGTGAGATTCCAGTTGGTTCACACCCTCCCACACGGCGTCCTCTGACCGCCGAGGCTCGGCTGTTCAGGAGCCCGGCTGCAGCGGATTCCTCCAACACCTCCAGTCTGAGACTGCATCAGGTCACAGGACGTCAGACCGGAACATTACATTTTATAATTCAATAACAGAGATATGTTTGATAGCTCTACTTAGTCTCTGGTTAGTAGTTAGTCTCCATATGATCTGAGCAAACTGTCTGCTGAGATTCTGCTGAAAGCTACAAAAGATTGTAAACTGAAATGAAATAGAGATTTTTTTTCTCAAACTTTTTCTATGGAGTCATAGGAGTGCCACAAAAACGAATACATCTGTAAAAGAATAAGTAAATATAAACAGGAATAAACAAAAGAATAAATAAGTAAATTAAAAAATGTGGAAATATAAAGAGAATTATATAAAAGGATAAAAAAATGCTTTTATCTTTTTGCTTTTAATTTACATGATTGTTTTGCTGCTACCATGGTAGTGGCTAATAAATAAAATAAAATAAATAATCGATTAACAGAAATCAGCTGCTCATATTTGCAGCTTCTCAGAGGAGATGATTTGCTGATTTTTCTTCGCATAACTTTCATGTGTTTTTAATGTTTTTGAGGTTTGGCCCAAACAAAGCAGTTATTATTTCATTATAACAGCATTTATCATAAATTTTATCATGAATTTTCATAAACAAAACTATCAATTAATTGGAAAATAGATTTAAAATAAACTTAAAGCTTCTAGTTTTCTTCTTCTTCTATGTTTTATTTGAAGTGTTGATACATAAGAAGATGTATTTGTGGTTTTAAGAACCAAAAAAAATCTCAATGTAGTTTTACATCTCCTCTCTCAGGCTTCTCTCTGGAGTTCTAGTAACAAGAGGTCGGTGAACCAATCAGAAGAGAGGACGCTCTGAGCCTCCCTTCTGATTGACTGACTGTTTTCTAAGTGATCTGATAAAAAAAATATAGCCGATTTCAGGTAAACACTCAGAGAAACCAAATCCTGCAAGGTTTGGATGGTGGGTCCACGTGGGCGGGGCTTGGGGGGGGGGGGTGGACTGCTTTGTTGTGACATCACAAAGTTCCAGAAGTCCTGACGGCTGGTTTTAAGGCTCAGTTTCTGAATACAGGCTGTGTGCATTTCTCTGTGGACTGAGGCTTTGATACTTTCACAGTATTAATACAGAACCCAGACCTGCTTTATAATCGAACTACACATGGACATATACTTTATACTATATGGACCTTTAAGACACAGTGTCCGCTCAGCTTCACTCACACATTAACATGTTTGAAATAATCTGATGATTCAACACTAGACAGTCACCCGTTACTCACCATGTTCCCGTCTGGAGGCCTGACAGCGGTGTAGCGTTACTTCTGATTGGCAGAGCTTGACTCACATACCCAGAATGCCACAGATACAGCAGCGAGGACGAGAAGGCGGTGATGAAAACCCCAGCGGCGGACACGCCGTGGCTTTATCTGTATCCGCCAGCTGACAGCAGCTTCTGATAAAAGACAAACTCACAGCTTCACGTGCACAACATCCACATGAGACAACGTTTATTTCAGCTGGTAAAATACATCATTCATGTTGTAAAACGCAGGAAAACACTGGAGGCTTTTTCTTTTTTTTTTTAACAGTCCATAAAAAATGAAATGGTCCTTAAGCTGCAAATAAATAAAGTCAAAAGTGGATCTTGATGCTTCAGGATAAATGAAGGTGATGCAAAATATACAGACAGAGGTTTGTTTCTGCTTTGTCGGGAGAAAATATGAGGACAGAGGAATGTGTGAGGAGTCATTCACACCTGACTCAAGGTTCAGGTACAACATCCTGTCCACACTGGACGTTAAAAACATTTCAAAATAAAAGCCTTCCTCACATGAACAGACTGGACTCCTGAGGACAAATATGAAGACTGAAGCCTCCAGATTCAGAGGTGATAAAAATCTGAACTGGTCAGAAATCAGACAGACCAGTCTGTTACTGGGAGAACTGGTTTAATGATGTTTTATTCCAACTTTTTATTGTCATAGCTCGAGTGTCCGTTCCATCGGTTATCAGCACATCAAACTCATGAATCAGCCTCGGGGTTTGATGCTTGGCTGTGACTAATGAGAGCTCAGACTGAAGGAGGATCAGGAGTGTTCATGCTCAGTTTGATAAACAGGTACACATCATCTGAACTCACTGGTCTGGTTGTTGCAAGTGGTTCCGGAGCAGTCACTGTTTTCTGAGATCTTAACAGTACTCAGGTGAGTGTTATCAGGACTGACAGACCTGAGCTACGAAAATAAACTTCAAGTTGAAATAAACCATAATTTACAGTGTAGTGTTTTTTAATAACACTGAAGAAGAGTTAGATGTTTGTTTCCTTGCTGACAGTGACACAGAGGTCTGATACTAAAATCATGTCAGTGTATTCAGTGTGGAGTTGCAGCAAGCAGGTGCTTGCTGCAACTCCACACACTAATGCTAGCTTAGCTTAGCATTAAGACTGGAAATGGGGGGAAACAGACATCAACATGATTTCAACATCAAGCTTTTTGTCCAACTTTCAGCGAAAGCTCAAACAAACCAAACGTCAGGCTGTCGCGGCTGCAGCCTCCGTGTGTCACTTTAATAAACATCATCCTCCACTTTAAACCTTTGTACAGTCATTAATGAGAAAAGCTGCCACAGTTAATGCCCAATTGTATCAATTATTCAATTAGCTTTTATTCCATAATTGCTATGTGCAAACATTAAAAATGCACTTTTAAACAGCGTGCATACGTGTTAGGAACCTGTGCATGATCAAACAGACAGACTGTCAGACATCATTAATACAAATCAAACCGCTGCAGTTTCTGGTGCACGTCATAGGAAGAAGAAAAAACTGAAGAGGAAATACACCACCGGCCCTCGGGGGAACAACTACAGTAACTGTGGATGTTACAACGGAGAGTCAACACAACAGCACGACACAAACACCGTCAGGTCGGCAGTCCGTGCAGCGCAGCAGATAATCGCACGTTTCAAATGTGGATACAAATGCAGAATTTTTGGTTCGTCATTCATAATAAATTTTTTGCAAACACATTGTGTTTCATGCAGAATTTTTCAGGATACATGTTGGAAACTGCACAAATAAATGGCGGCCATCTTTTTTTTTGCGCTTGTATCCACATTTGAAAGATTATTGCAGTTATCTGCGGCACTAGAGGGGCAAAGTGCTGACTGCTTTTAGGCAAACAATATCCGGACCCCCCCACCCCGACCTACAAACCCCCTGACCCCTGACATCGTCATGCTGAACCAGGAGGAGGCACAAACTGGACACAAAGCTTTATTCCAAAAAAAAAACACGTCTATAAACAACTTCATGCCAACAACACACAGCTCCGACTGTAGCACACCTTTAAGTCCAAGATACAAAAATACTTCATGTGTTCAGGTTTCTAGTGGTCTGTGTTTAGAGACTGAGGCAGCTCACGTGTTTCAGACCTAAGGGAATAATATATATATATATATATGTATATATATGTTTAACTTTAATTCGACCACATTATGATGGGAGCAGCTCAAAATAACATTGATTGAATTATCACAGGAGACCACACACAGACTGAACTGTACATTCACTTCAAGTAGAGGAGAATCCATGCTCTGGAGACGGGGCCACCAAGAAAAAAAATCATCATAATCCAAAGATTCAATTCAAGAGTTTGAGAGACTTTAACTGAACTGGGAAAACGAGTCAGTCACAATCAATCAAAGCGGCGTGTTTTTGGTCGTGTGCAAAGGTCCTGGTGGGAGAAGCAGCACTCGCTTTCTCTTTGCATTGATTATTTTCTTTGTAACAGTCGATGCCATGGGTTCTGAGGCTTGGCGGAGTTGAACCAGCAACTTTAGTTTAGTTTACAATCTACGGAGAGGTCCAAGGTCTGAGGGTTGCTCGTCGTCGTCACACAAAACGTGCCCAGCCAGTCGTCACAAAGACACAGAGAGAGAGAGACAGAGAGAGAGAGAGAGAGAGAGAGAGAGAGAGGGAGGACAGTGGTGACATTAACAGCTGATGTCCTGGTTTGAAGCTTGCTCTTCACCTTTGACCTTTTGAGTCTGAGGTTATTTTAAAGTGACACTGGGCAGTGCTTGGATTTTAAATAATCTCACTTCCTGTTTGGTCACATCAGGTGACAAGATCAATCTGAGTTCAGAACATAAATAAAAACCTACGTCCGTCTTTCCTCTAATCTTTGCATCATGGAGATCGTGTTTCCGTTGCGGGAGAACAAGAACCTCAGAGGAACCTTTGTTTTGACCAGAGGAACTAGGTTTAGGATTGTTCCAGATGGTCTGGGGGTTGCAGGTTCTGAAGGATCAGGAACTTTCAGGCGGGTTCTGCAGGTCTCATAGCTCTGGTCATGTGCATAAAAATGTGTGTTTCAAATGCCGCCATCGTTTTTTATTCTGTCTGATTCATTTCTTTGCTCTGACGCAGTGGAGAAACAGACAATGTGCAAAAATGACTTTGAGTTCCTGAGGTCACTTCCTGTGTGTTGGTGGTACCAGGAAGTATCTGGTCAAAAAGGGTCAGGACCCGGCTCCTGTCTCAGCTCCCATTAAAGCTTTCCAGAGGGAAGGTGTCTGATCCACTCTTTTTCCGTCCCAGTTTAAATGAAACCACGCCCACTTCTATATGACCAAAGCCATGACCCCGCCCCCCTCCAGGGGTGTGTTTCATCTAAACTGGGTTGTAAAAACGATACAAGCGTTCCGACTGTTTCCCACTGTAAAGCTGATGGAGGTGAATCAAACGTAGATTTGTTCAAGTTCTGTATCTTGTTTGTCTCAGAACAAAAACCAGTGATGGTCACAGCGCTGTTTTCCCTTTTTGTCCACAGGGGGGCAGCACTGTGACCAGCAGCTGCAGCTAGAGGACAAACCTCGACACACAAATGAGAGTTCTGGTTTAACAAGACCTGGAGGAGGAGGACTGGGTCGGTCTGGAAAGTCTACATATACTTAACTTCCTGATCTGTGCAGTGGGGGTGGGGGGGTGGGGTCTGTGATACAGTGGGGGGGGGTCTCTCACAGGGCGAGGGAACCACTGACCTGACGTTTTCTTTTTAAATAAAGCTGTTGTTGAATTTTACCCAGTGTAGCTTTAAACCCTCAGCCTTCTGGACTGACCGTCCTCTCACAGCGTGCTGCTCAGGATCTCTGACACCTGTGCATTGGTTTGTTCGTCTGAGTCTACGTCCTGGGCGGCGGCTCCTTCAGGCTCCTCCCCCTCCCCTCCAGACTCCGCCTGTGCCACGACCACCGACACGCCTGCAGCCTTCAGCTTTTCCGTCATCTCTCTGCCTCCCTCCCCCTCCTCCTCCCAGCCCCTCCTCTCGTCGCCCGGCAACAGCTCCTTGCAGGGCTCCACGAAGATCCTGCGGACGTGGGGCCGTGGCTCCCGGTGTCGGCCCTTCCGGCTCTCCAGGACGCAGGAGGCGTGGCTGACGTAGGTGGTGCTCTGTGGGGAGGGAAGGTCCCCAGGTGGGGGCAGGTCTGGATCCAGCTGCTTGGTGTACACACCCTCAGATAGAGATCTGGTCTGACTCTCCCCGCTGTGGCCCCTCAGCCAGCGCTGGGGCCCGCTGAAGTACTGGCCCCTGTGACTCCTGGAGAGCAGTTTGCGTTTGGCGGGGGGGTTGGCGAGGGCCCTCAGGGGAGCAACGTCCTCCTGGTGGCTCTTGGACAGGGAGAGGCCCTCCAGAGTCTTGGTGGTGTCGGACAGAACCGGGGAGAGGGGGAGGGACAGAGGCAGGTCTTTGGAGAATCTGGGGGACAGGGGAAGGGACGGAGAGGTGGGGAGGGTCCTGGAGAGGGAGGGGGAGCGAGCCAAACCAGAGCTAGAGAGACTGAAGTCCTTGGACAGAGAGGGAGAGTGGGGGAGGAGGGATGAGGAGAGAGGAGCCTCTTTAGATTTGGGATCCTTCATCATCGAGGGGAGGGGGAGGTCTGTGGGCGGGACAACGCTGTACCTTCCAGAGAGAGAGGCGTCATTAGATTGAACATGAACATACAGAGGTAACACATCAACATCATCATCATCATCACCATCATCAATCTAATCTAATCTAAACTGATCTAGTCTAAACTGACCTAAACTAAACTAACTCAGCTGTAAACTGATCTGTGTGTAAAGATGAATGAGGTCACATGTGAACTCAACAGGTGAGACCATTTACAAACACACAAATCACCTGAGCTCTTGGATCTGGAGCACATCAGGGGCGCTGCCGCCCAGCGAGTGCACGGCCTGCTGGGATAGATCTTGGGGTGGGGAGTAGAGCAGGTCCAGCTCGCGGGGGCTCAGGGCGTCACTGGAGTCATAGTCGCTGTCAGTGGGCAGAAAGACCTCGGAGGAGCCGTCTTCATCCGAGCCAAGTAGAGAGTCTAGAAGCAGAGAGAGGGAGTGAGGGGTCAACAGGTCTACACTCAGACCAGGTCTGAGGAGGGACCACTCACCACTGATGGCCTTCCTCCTGCGGAGCTCAGGTGAGGGGGAGGGCGTGGGCAGGTAGTCCATGGTGGAGGAGGTGGAGTCTGTCTTTTGCTGGCCGGAGTCGCTCTCCGGAGCGCTGACGTCAACCAGGCAGGTGATGGGTACGCCGCCCCGAGGGTGCTTGTAGCGAGCGTACTGCAGCGCGTCGGTGATCCAGCGGAGGTCCCGACGCATTTCATCCAGTTGCTGCAGAAGCACAACAAAACAGTCAACACACTCAACATGTTCTGTGCGCAGCACTGTTGTTATTCCATTGACGTAGCTCAGAAAATCTGCTCTTACTTGAAAAAGATCGGTTTGAATTAACGTTGACTTTCACTTCAGGCTCAAACATTGAAACAATGTAGCTGTGGCTCGTCAACATTGACTCAAACCAGGTTTGAACAAGCTGTGCACACGGACTATACAAGCAGCCCAGAACAGTCGATTACTGAAAAGAAAGATCATGTCACAGAAAGAAGGGAAAACAAGAGCAGCGGAGGAAACCCTGCTGATTAGGGTGACCACTTGTCCTGTATAATACGTGAATAATGTAAAACCCCAACTAGTACAGGTGGACTGGAGAAGTTTATCAGTGAGCAGTAGACTGACGAGCTCTGTGTGCTCTGAGAAAATACACGTATGATCACCTTCTTGATGTGAAGTCAATAGTACAGCAGTCCGTTAGCTCACCTGGCAAAGTGCATATAACCAATTTACTCATGACGGCAGTGACACTAGTTCTAGTCCGACCTGTATACCGTTCCCACATGTCATCATCTCTCTCCCTGTGGCTATCAGAATAAAGGCAATAAATGTTTAATTCATTGTATATTGCCAACTGCATCCTATATTATAGTCTATATTAGCCTATATTATACAATAACCAATGTTGCTATCACCCTAGTTTCCAAACACAGACATGAAAAAAGAGATGCGAGCGTAAAAACACACTTGATGGAACTTTCTTTTGGGATTCTGTTTCCGGCCGTTGGAAATTCATTGAAACACAGCTAAGTTAGGCTTGACAGCTAGCCTGCTATAGAGAACGCTAGTTGGGTAGTATCAGTTACCATGGTTACGGAGCCGGGAATCCTGTTTAAGCCACAGTGATGGAACGGAACGCTGATTTATATTAGCGAGACTTAACAAAACAAGCTCGGATTTTTCTTTATCTGTCTTGATGGAATAGAGCCCAGATGATACCAGAGTCTGTTTCTACGTAGGGGTGGGTGATATATCGAATATACTAGATGTATAGCGGCTTGTTCCACGTGGGATGTATAAAATGACAATATCGCGAACATCGTGTATAAATTGTCACATAATTGTTTTAAGACGCCGGCATGAAGTTTTCTTTGGCGTTTCGCCTTTCTCGATCTCTCCCTCACAGACACACTCAACCGCCCATCCAGAAAACTCTCCGCATGTGTGATGTAGGTGAGGAGGTGTGTGTGTTTGTATCATGAACGGAGCGAATTGACGAAAAAAGTGAAACGCCAAAGTGAGCTAATTCGTATTTAAATTTTTTTTTTAAAAAACCAATTCATATTGGTTCAGAGAAGAAACGGCATCGGAACACAACGCCTGCCTCGCGTGTTTGCCTCACAGTGCACGGCAGCTGCGTTGCTGCTACTGCAGCTCTGTCTTTCTACATAGTTTGCGCCGACTTTTGTTTACTCTGGTACAGACACACACAGCGAGAACAAAAGAGAGAGAGAGCACCGGTAAAATACTGCCCTTCACTCTGTTAAATTATAACATAATTATAACCAACAATGGGTTTCTGCTATGACCACTAGTACATGTGGTCTCCTCTGTCTCTCCATGCAGTTGCTAAAATGATTAAAAATAAGTTATACAATATAATATTTATATATATATATATATATACTATAATAAACTTCTGTATATTTATATTTATAAATATAAAGGTTTTTTTTCATGTCTGTGTCATATTCATATATAGTCCAGACAGTGAAACTATAGACTAGTGAAAGGTGTTATATATAATGTTTCTGGTATCATATCAGTATGACTATCAACAAATGTTTCCCTGTCTATTATTGCTGGGAGCCGCTCGTCATGAGTGAAAAACAGGCGAGATGCTGAATCTCTAAATCGCACAAAACAGGAGCAAAGCATGAGATTGTGTCTCTTTATGCATCAAATTCTATTGAGGAAATTTAAAAAATATTGCAATATATATCATGTATCGCGATATAGCCTAAAAATATCGCCATATTACTTATAGACCATATCCCCCTGCCGTATTTCTACGCCGACGATGTCTTATTCTATTGATTAACAAGCTTCACTGCTGAAACCGTGATCTGATTTATTTATTAGTCAACAGAAATTTCATTGGAAACAAGTTTGATCATTGACTCCATCAGTTTTTCTGTGTTTCTATTTATACTAAATCTGTTCAGTTCTCTACAACTTTATTCACACATTCATGCGAAAACACAGTGGAGGAATTCCCCTTTAACTGAAAGTAAAATTTATCATGTGTGAAAATGTGTGTGTATGTGTGTGTGTGTGTGTGTGTTTGCTTTTGAAGAGAATGAAGCGTGACAAAACGTTAAGCAGCAATTAGCTGACTGTCTGACACAGAGCAGGAGAGCACTTAGTGCCAGACACACACACAAGGGGGGGGTTGCGGGCTGACAGCAAGGATGACTCGGCTGGAAAGAATGCCGAGGCTGCGACGGCAGAGCGAGAGCCTGTGAGAGAAAAACATGGAGGAGGTTCCTGCTTGTCCCACAGAGAGAGAGAGAGAGTTTACCAACAACAATCACACACAGAGGAACACATTACACTCTGTCCATACAGTCAATTAAACTAACTTAAAGGATCAGTCTGTACGTTTCTCCTGAGCGTGATGTGTCAGTGTTCAACATCACATTAAAGACTCTTGAAAACCACACAGCATGTGATTTCATATTGTTTCACAGTCTCACTGGTCAAAGTCAAAATCACATGTTGTTGTTGACTTCCCAGCTGTACATAATTCATAGTAATATAATTAATAAATGATAGTGACCTGGACCTTTGTATGAATGACACTGATCACAAGATTTTGTCAAACAGATATTAAAAACCCTTGAACTGCAGTGAACCAATGACAGTGTCATAAACACAGATTCAGAAAGCCAGGGTTTCATACGTCACAAACCTAAGGAACCAATCCTGTCAACTTGTGGGGACGAACGGGGGACGGACCGGGGGAGTGGGGGGTGGGGGTAAAACTGAAACCTTGTCAGTACAGAGAGAGAGAGTCAGCGTCACTAACGCTGTGTCAGCCATTGCCAGTTACAAGCTCTCTAACAACATAAAAAAAGCTAAATATGCTAACATTTATGAAAATATACTTACTATGGTAACCGTTCTGAAAAGATGCTAACTACGCTAACCGTTCTGATACGTCTGCTAGTCTCTGATTCTGGTCTCAACAGACTGAGTCTAGGTCTGACTGAGGGTGAGTCTGATGTTTCCTCCTCTAACTATCTTGATACTCTCTACTCTTTCACCTGTCAACCTGGAGCAAGCAGGTGGTGGGCGGGGCTCAAGGCCTGATCCAGATCATCAGACTACGTCTGGAGGAACTTTAAGTCTTTTGTTGGCATTATGACAATAAAAGAACTAAATGATGAATTCTTGGTGTTTGCTGGGAGTTCACTGGGAATTTCTGCCCCTCATCTGTATGTTAAGATACTGTTTGTTTGCTTGTTTATTTGTTTGTTGTGTCATATTTGTGTTGCAGAATAAGAAACTTGTGTATTTAATTTGACCATATGTGTGTGTTTCTCTGCTGTACTGATAGTTTTGATGTTTTACAGGTTGTTTTGATGTGAGGCAAATAAAAACAAAACTGTACAACAACAACAACAACAACAGAAAAACAAACAAACAAACAAAGTGCATTTTCCTTCAGGGAGATGTTTCCAGCTGAGATAACACTGTGGAGCTGTGAGAGGAAAGCTGTGTGGTGGATCTCTGACACTGCAGCCGCTGGATCTGAGAAACTTTCCAGAGCAGAGACGCATCTGCAGCTAATCACACTCTGACAGCATCTTCACACACACACACACACACACACACACACACACACACACACACACACACACACACACAGGTTTCCAAGGCCGTGCTGCAGCTACAGCCGCTCTCTCTGCTCAGTGTGTCTTCCCACAAACCTCAGCGACGCCATGTTTCACTGTGTGTTTGTGTCATAGATACAGAGGAATGAGGTGACAGACAGGATGGAGGTCTGAGTATGTTGGAGGAAAAAAGGTCCGGGTCAGAGTCTAAGCCTCTTGACCAACACTTAACTTTCTACAAAACTGTACTTTTACTTACTTGAATAACTATGACATTTCTGCTTTTATTTGACAGTTTGACAGGATGTAGATCCACTCGCTGCCTCCTGCCTGATCCTCCTGACTAACACATTATTCTATATTCACAATAAATTTTATCTTGAACCTTTATCCATGTATAACTCCTCTTTTTTTATTTATTTCCATTTTTTCAAATTTTTTTTTATTGTGTCTTTCTCTCAGGGGCGAGGGGACAATGAGGAATAATTTAGATTTTTACAGCTTTTAGAGCCTCACTGCCAAACAGACCAAATCAAAAAGGACTTCAGGTCAAGCTGGATATCTTCTTCCAAGTGATATCATCTACAAGGTCTGAGTCCTGGACCTTGTTGGGATTATGTATCTGGTCAGACTCGTCATTAGTTTAGATGTTGTTAGATTTTAATTGAACTACAATTCTGCTGGTGTGGTTTTTTTTCGGTCAAAAGAATCAATCATCTGAAACACCTGTTCCCGTCAAGAATAGACATGATGAACTCAAACTAATTAATTCTCCTTTAATCACGTCAGTTGAATTAAACATCATCTTCCTGTTGGAGGGAAGGTTTTGGAGTCTGTGGTTCAGACTGGTTCAGGTTCAGGAGCTGAAGGCAGACTGAACTGTGGGGCCATAATTAAAACTAAGATCTCAGTTATTTCTCTGTCGCCGTCATCTCAAAGATTAAAGGATAAATTAAAGAGAATGAAGCTTCAGACTCACAGTAAAACTTCACAACATTTTGAAAATATTCACACCAAACATGATCTAATGATCCTCGTGTTGTAGGTTGTTTTTTGGTTTAATTTCTCCTGGACTTTCATGAATATTAATGTCTAATCTGCTGGTTAATAATAGTAACAACAGACTGAGGAATAAAACCTAATAAAACAGTTTATTTATGGTGTCATGTCTCCAGGTCCTGATGTGGAGCAGTGAAGAGGAGAAGCCAGATGTGCAGCAAGCAGACAGACTTTCCTCCATCAACATGTGGCGAGTCTAAACAAACCGTCCAATTAGACGGCATCACGTCATCTTCACACCAACCCGCTTTCACTGAGACACACACACACACACACGCACTTGCAGAGGGACCTCCCAGATGAGACACGCTGAGGCACGAGAGTGTGTGTGAGAGCTGTTGTTCTTCTATTGCTGTGAGGACCGATTTGAGTTTGAGACCTTGAGAGAAAAGATGTTTTAAAAAAAGTGAAAATGTGTTTGAAAAGTAAAGACGTCTTTCTAAAGCCACGACACATTATAAAGATCATAATAATAAATAAATGATAATAATAAATCAAGATATTTTTGTAAACAAAGTGTCAAATGTCTGCAAAAACTTTTTCAGAAACAGAGATGAGATTTTAGTAAAGTTGGATCATTTTTGTCACAAGAAGAATTTTTTCTAAACTGAATATATATTTTTTTATTTTAGAAATAAGAACAAAGTGAAGATATTTTTCTATTTTGTATGTGAGGCCATTTTTGGCCAGACCACAACAGCGAGGTTGGCCTTTTAAATGGGAGTGTCTGTCGCTGACTGACTGAGTGATGAAGTTAACCCATTGGTCGGTCGGTCAAGTGTCGAAGAAAAGCACCTGGCGACAAACCTCAGCTACTTTCTGTAGATGAGAGATTCCAGCCCTGCCATAAGAGTGCAAGGTCGGACTTTCCCTCCACAGACTCACCTCTCTACACTGTCCAGACAGATACTTGGCTTGGACCTGCTCTTGATGTAGAGCGAAGAGATTGGAGATTCAGACCTCAGAAGTGAAGATATCAAAATGAGGACATGTTGCAAAGTAAGACACTTTTTAATCTAAGGACATTTTGTGTAGTCATCACCTCTTCAAAGGGTTAATAAGACCTGGTTTTGAGTCTGAATCAGGTTCAGGTTCATTCAGGATTCAGAGAATGTGTTTGAACAATCAGCGTCCTCACAAGTATAAAAGACCAAACACTCCTCTGTGTTGACAGACGTGGCCCTTTTCACACTCTGCCCTTCACATCAACATCTAGCTGTCTTTAATACACACACACACACACACACACACACACACACACACACACACACACACACACACACACACACACACACACACACACACACACACACACACACACCCCTCCACGTGCTCTGATTGGTATTATTTTTTCCCCTGACATTCCCTCTCTCTCTGAGCAATTTGTGGTCGGGGGGCCACTTTTTTCCGAGCTTTAAAATCACAGACAGAGAGCTAGACAGCTGGTTACACACACACACACACACACACACACACACACACACACACACACACCCCTGGCAGTGCTGTGATCGGAGAGCACCCTTGTGGTTTTGTGGTCGGTCTCCATTAACGGCGGCGGCGAGCTCCTCTCAGACGGGTTCACTCTTATACGTTCAGACTGCGGCGAGCAGCCAGTTCTCGACTTCTTCTACTCTAGAAAAACAAGCTGTTTAACAGCTAATACTCCAGCAGTTACACTTTACTGCATCAATAAACGTCTCTGATTGGATCACCATCGTTTTCTCACCGCCTTCATGTTTAAATGTTTTTTTTTTCTCAGTGAAAAACTGGAGATGAAATAAAATGTCAGTGAAAATGAGGTTTATTAAATCCTGTGTTTGATGAGCTCTCAGCTGATTCTCAGCTGACTTTAATCATTGTGAATAAATCAGAGTGAATCTGAACAGTAGCTGAAACCACATGGACGGACTTCTGAGAGCAAGCAGACTGAATAAAACTGAACTGGTTCCCGTCCAGCTGACTCACGACTGCAGATGTGTTTTCATGTGTGAACGGTTCAAATCCCATGTCAGGAATGTTTCCCACCAGTGTTAGATAATTCTGTTTCACAGCCAGGTTTTTCTGACATGTTTCCATAAACCAGTCACCAGACTTTTTCACACTTTTTTTTCCAAACTCTGATGGAGGCGGGTCCTCGGCTGATGATGAGTAAAACACCTAAAACTTGTGCAGCAGCTTCACCTGTGCGTGCGTTTCTCACCTGGATGTAGTCCAGTATGAGCTGATGCCTCTGTTTGGCTGTGGCCACCTCACTGTCAGTGATGGCCTCCCGCAGTGTCTGCTGGGTAATGAGGGCGTCCAGGTCCAAGACGGAGGACAGACGGCAGTACAGGCTGATGAACTTCTCCTTGTAGGTGCAGAAGTGAACTGAAGAAAGAAAAGAAATTGCGATGAAGAGCGGAAGAAGAGACTGAGCGGTCAGAAGAGACCAGCAGAGACACAGATGGGGACGAGTCCACGATGTCTCTGTTCTGAAATGTTACAATATTAATAAACCAAAACTGAAACAGATGAAAACCTGAATAAAATCCAGCTGCAGCTTTTTATGTAAAATAAATTAATCGCTCATTTTCCGACTTCCAAGGTGCATGGAGAAAGGAAAAAGTCCACAGAGGTCAAAACTCCAGCAGCACTCACAGTAAACGGAAGAACTTTATTAGAGCGATGCGTTTCGGCTGGTGGTCTCTTCATCAGGGATGGGAATTTGAATATCAAACCATGTTTTAAAACATTTACAACGTTCTGCACAAAAATAGAAATGCAACACTTTCGTTCTTGCTCACATTTGTAAACAGAAGACAGCATCGTGGGTGAAGAACAGCTGCGTGCAGACAAACATCTGAAACTAGAATCACCTCCTCGTGGTTGTTTCCTCCACCAACCAGTAAAGTTACAGTAAACATGGTCCCAGTCTCTCCTTCCTAAGTTACAGCGTTGAATAATAGCTAGAGGTGTTTTTGGACAACATTATGATGTCACAGTGAAGTTCACCTTTGACCTTTTGGATATAAAATGTCATCATTTCATTTTATCCTCATAGACATTTGAGGTAAATTGTGTCATAATTAGTGAATGAATTTGAGATCACAGAAGTAATGAAATTCCCTCTGGGTGTTCCTGATACATTGCATTCACAAGAACGTGAGGTCACTGTGATTTTTGACCTTTGACCTTTGGCCACCAAAATCTAATCAGTTCATCCTTGAGTCCAAGTGAATGTTTGTGCCAAATTTGAAGGGATTCAGAGCAGGAGTAATTTTGTTTTCAGGTTGTCCGTTCGTCTCATTCTCATGGACACGATATCTCAGTAACGCCTTGATGGAACTTCTTCACATCTCAAAAGTCAAAGGTCAAGGTCAGTGTGACCTCAGAAAACCTTTTTTTTAGCCATTACTCAAGACTTCATGAAGCAATTATGACAAAATTTCACACAAATGGTTCAAATTTTCTATGACTCTGGATAAACAGGGACGTAACGTGAAACTAGTCTGAGTGGAGGAGGCAGGGATTCTAGTTGAGTTTATTTTTGACAGAAAAGTAAATGTAAAAGTCTTGCATGTGATCAGCTGTTCATCTGAGCTCTGGTCACAGGAACATGTCGCTCTCTGTGATCCGTGTCTCTGTGACACGACACTCACTCTGTGACAATCTGCTCGTGTTGAGTTCAGCTTCAACTGAAACCAGACTCATGTAGAAGTGTTTTATTCAGAGCAGAGAGAGGAGGTCAGTGTGTGTACAAAGAGAGAGTATTGTGCAGTGTGTATGGGAGTTATTGACACATTTTTGTGTGTGTGTGTATGTGTGTGTGTGTGTGTGTGTGTGTGTGTGTGTGTGTGTGTGTGTGTGTGTGTGTGTGTATGTATGGGGGTCAGCAGAGAGGCCGTCCTGCTGGAGCCTGCAGACTGATTTAGTGCTTTTCCCTGCAGACATAGGTGTGTATGTTTGTGTGTGTGTGTGTGTGTGTGCGTGTGATAGGACACAGCTCAGTCTGTACAGACGGCTGCTGCATTAACCCCTGTTTAATTTTTATCAGAGAACTTCATCCAAAGCAGCAAAGAGTAAAAATCTGAAAAACAACAGATCAGGATTTGCTGTGACCCCCCCCCCCCCCCTTTAAACCAGTTCCAGTTCTCCTCAGTACACCTGCTCACAGTTCTTCAGGTTTTTGTCACGTAGGTTGTTCCAGCTTCCTACCACAGTGTTTCTTTCTCCTGTTTGTGTTTGTGTGTGTGTGTGTGTGTGTGTGTGTGTGTGTGTGTGTGTGTATATTGTTACCAAGTTCAAACATCTGCAGGGGGAGGTGAAGGAATCCTGAGAGGGGGATGTAGGGGTTGGACTGTCCGGGGGCGGAGCAAACGTCATCGGCAGCTGGCAGCAGCAGCAGGAAGGAGACACCGTGACCGAGCTCCACCACCTCCTGACTGTAGAGACGGAAGTGACGGGCCTGCACACACACACACACACACACACACACACACACACACACACACACACACACACACACACACACACACACACACACACGCTGGTTTCTAACATGAACTGGCTGTGGGTGTGTGTGTGTGTGTGTGTGTGTGTGTGTACCTGGTGCAGAGGTAGGTTGATGTGCTTCAGCAGGGACTTGATCGCTGTCTGCAGCTCATAGTACAGTAAGGGGGCATGGCTTTCTGCTCTGGGCTCCGCCCCCTCACTCCCTTCCCTGTTGTGGTCATTCTGTCCTGCACCTGAAAGCGTCTGGATCCAGTCCCACTCCTCCCTGAACGCACGCACGCACGCACGCACGCACGCACGCACACACACACACACACACACACACACACACACACACACACAAACACACACACACGTTAGTATAACGATATCAAATCGTTAATATTAATGGATCCTCTCAGCTGTCTGTTTACAGGTTACAAAACCTTTATATTGATTAAACTGCTGATTGACACATTAACACATTCTTGTGTTTTGGATGAATAAATACTGTATTAACATGTTTTCGGGAGTCACAGGTTCACATGACAAATACAAACATTCACAGTACATCAAGGATGACCATGACCTGGATGACTGACAATCGTCACACACTAATACTAAGACTAAAACTAATGAAAATGCTAATACTAATATTAATGCTATTACTGACACTAATACTAATATTTATGGTAGTAATAATGCTAAGACTAATACTAATGCTAATGATGATAATAATAATGCTAATAATACAAATGCAAATACTAGTACTAATGCTAATACTAATAATACTTATGCTAATACTAAAACTAATGCTAATAATAACCTTTATTTATATAGCACCTTTCAACACACAGCTATGTACTTTACAAAACAAAGTGAAACTTTGAAAACAATTATAAACAGTTTAAAGATGAACAACACAGGAGGAGATACAAATAGAACAAAGATCAATAATCAATAAATTAAAAATCAGGACAACGACATATAATATGTTTGAAGATGTTTTGTCTTTTGGTTTGATCTCATCTTTGAATCCACACACACACACACACTCTCACACACACACATACACACACTCTCACTCTCACACACACTCTCACTCTCACTCTCACACACACACACACACACACACACACACACACACACACACACACACACTCCTTTTGTTTCTCACTTCACACTTTCCAATCTGTCTGGGGAGGGAATGCAGCGTTGTTTAGCGTCCAGAAATTCTTGTGATGGAGGCCAAAGAGCTGAAATACTTTTACCTGTCCCACCTCCACCTCCTCACCCCCACGAGCTCTGAGCCAATCAGATTGGATCCAACACAAAAGACACACGCACGTCCACATATGTCGAGGGAGCGATGTCAGCTGCACGCTGACTCTCAGAGCGAGTGCGTAACGTAACACGAGCCGACAGGTGAGCGTCACACGTGTCGACTGACAACAGGTGAGAACAGCTGTCAGTCAGCAGGTGTGTGAGCTGGAGGTGTGTGTGTGTGTGTGTGTGTGTGTGTGTGTGTGTGTCGTACCTGGAGACGTTGCAGTTGTCTCGTATGCGGGTGTGACACAGCATGTTGGGGGTCCGCTGGGACACCAGGACTTTGATCTGGTCTACGGAGCTGCTGAGCTTCAGGTAGCCCAGGTAGAGACCCGGGGCGAGTCGGTGAGTGCTGCGCCGCTGGTATGCCAAAATGTCCTGAGAGAGAGAGAGGGAGAGAGACAGAGAAACAGAGAGAGAGAGAGACAGATAGACAGAGAGAGAGACAGATAGACAGAGAGAGAGAGAGGGAGAGAGACAAAGAAACAGAGAGAGAGAGAGAGAGAGAGAGAGAGAGAGAGAGAGAGAGAGTTGTGTATGTGCAGTTTTTTTTACAAGCCACAGGTTCCTGACTCCAGGTCCTGGTTCTTGAATATTATTTATCATAAACAATATGATTCTACAAAAAAAGGTTTTGGTCTGGTCTGGTCTGGTTGCTGCTGCAGTCCCAGGTCTTCTTAATCCACATGGACCACATGGTACTGAGGGTTCGTTCTTCCTCACCTGTATGGTGATGATGAGGATGTCCAGAGCGTATGGCTCCTCGGGTGTGGACAGGGATTTCCTCTGGCTCTGCAGTTTGGTCACCTGCATCCACTTCCCGCTGAACAGTGAGTGCTGGCTCTCCGTGTCGCGGATTGTCACCAGCAGCACGTTGCCGTGGCGATCCTTGATGGGCTCGTAGTGGATCCGGCCCAGGTTGTGAGTTCCCAGGAGGTTCTGCAGGTAAATGAACCCGATCAAAAGTGAGAAGACGCTTTTAAGAAAACATTTATAAATGACTTAGTCACTCAACAGAGAAACGATCTGCAGAGAGTTTATTTATTTATTTATTTCTCTATCTGGTGCTGTGATGAGTGAAGATTGATGTGAGTCAGGTTAACATCCTGTATTTTACTTTAATGGAGGGATTTAGTCTGTACGGAAGAGGGCCAAATGTAAAAAGTGTTTTGTAGAATTCTGACTTTCTAAAACATTTTTTAGAAAGTCAGAAGTCAGAATTCTGACTTTTACATTTACATTGATACGAGGCCCTAATCCTCTTCTGAAGTCTGAATCTGCGGCTTGAAATGAAGATGAAATTAATTGGTTTGACATTTGCAGCTTGACAGGAACAGTATGATTTTGATGTGGGACATTTAGGGACAAACTGTCAGAATAAAAGCATGCGTCCTCATCACAGCTGATTCAAAGTGGTTTCCAGTCAGGTCTGCTGGGGTCCTGACCTGCAGCTGGCCAGCGGCGGTCAGCATCTTGTGCCTGGCCTGCAGCGTGGAGGATGAGGACATGGACACCGACATGCTCTGTCTCAGCCACCGGACGTCCTCCCACATACAGGACAGCTGCAGAGACAGAGACAATGAGCTGCAGGAAGGGAAAGTGGTGAAACCGCAGCGCCTCATAAAACTAACTGCTGTTGTTTGTTTGCGTTCGGGGGCGGCATGGCAGCCTGATGCCTGGAGACAAGAGTGGATTGAAAATTCATCCAACGAGCCAAAAAGAACAGAACACTGAACATCTAATTCCTCTCGAAACAGGAGCAGACTGCAGCTCTCAGAGCACAGCAACAGAGATCTGTGTCCTCAGTCAAACACCTGAGACACATGAAGACAGGTAACATCCTGTTTCTGTGCAGCCTCCTCCTCTGTTGTCACCTCACTGTTTGAACCAGGATCAAACACCGATTTAATCCCATAAACACACACATAACCGTGAGGTCGTCGGAGAGTCAGCATCAATCAGCTGACTGACAGCAGCTCAGTGTGTGGACGTACTCTCAGATAACGGAGGAGGAATTGATTTGAACTTCCACATGTTAATATTTTCTGATCAGGATTCCCATCATGCTTAGGGTTATGTAAACAACAAGTATGATGTTGCCATGGAGACGATGGCCTCCACAGAGAGCAGCAGACCTAAGACCTCTCAGACACTGACATCATGAAATGAGCTGTACCTTGGTGAACCACAGGAAGTCCTGCATGAGGGAGCTGCTGTAGGAGTCGTCCACCTCCACGATGGGGATCTGGTCCTCCGCCGTCACCAGTAAACTGTCCTTATGGTAGAAGACGGCCGCCAGGTAAATCCCCCTGCAGACACACAGGATGGTACATTCCCAGGAAAGAGCAGGTAAACCGAGGAGGAAATTCAAACGACGACGACGACGACATGTTTTATGAATTTATGAAATCCTGTTACGTCACGCTACAAACAGGAAATTGTCTTTTGTCCTTTGGTGATGAAGCTTCCACCTGTTTAGTTTGTGTTCCCTGAAATAAATGTGGAGCTTTTTCTTTCCTTGAATTATGTTATAAATGAAATGTGTTTTATACAGGTGAGTCAGAACACCGCAGCTCAGCGTCTATACAGTATGTAACTATTTACTGGGGTTTAAATGTAGCAGCTCGTTCACTGACTACACACAGAGACAAGACACTGACAGACACATGAAAACCCAGAAACTGATCAGCACAAACCTTTTCAGTGTTTTCACAAACTTGTTGGAGGAGTTGAAGAGGTGTTTGAGACTCCTGGACACAGACTGCTTCCGGCTCGGGTTCTGCAGCTTCGATGTGTCTGCACACAGGAGCAGGGAAGGAGGAGGAGGAGGAAGAGGAGGAGGAGGAAGAAGAGGAGAAAGAAGGAGGAGAATAAGGAGAAGGAGAAGGAGAAGAAGAAGACGGTCATCACTGTTTGACCAGTTCACTGGTTTTCTATCACGATTCATGCACAACTGTATCTCCAGGTCTCGCCTCCTCATCTGGTTTTGAAGATGATGCTTGGTTACCATGACGACAGTAGTTGAATGAGCCTGTAAATCCATCAGAACCGTGTGTGTGTGTGTGTGTGTGTGTGTGTGTGTGTGTGTGTGTGTGTTTATGTGTTTCTGAGGTCAGCGGGGTCGAGTCACTCTCCCGTGCTGCCGGTCAGACTGAGTCTTATCTCATTCATTCGTTTGGCTGTCTCCCCCCCGTCTCCCTCCGGCCGTCCTCCAGCCCCGGGAGGATGGAGGACGGCGGCCGGCCGCTCAGCGATGCCAATCTCCAGACCACAGCGCCCCTTTTGACTCTGGCTAATTAAGCGTCACATAATTACCGTCCTGTAAACAGACGGCAGACTGACGCTCACAAAAAGCCCACCGTGCAGACATACAGCGTGAGGGAGGGGTCACAGGAGGCAGCAACACTCAGAGCAGGAGCCATATTGTTTTCAGGTTGTCTGTCCGTCTTCCTTGACGGAATTTCTTCAAATTTGCCACAAACATTCATTAGGACTCAAGGATAAACTGATTAGATTTTTGTGGTCAAAGGTCAAAGGTCACGGTGACTCCCAAAACACTTCTTAGCAATTAATAAAGACTTCACAGCAATTATGACAACATTCACCACAATGGTTCATATTTTCTCTGACTCTGGATAAACAGGGTTGTAACCTGAAACCAGTGGAGGAGGCAGACAACCACGAGGAGGTGATTCTAGTTTTCTTTTTGTTGCAGCTTCTGTTTTTTTATATTTGTGTTTTATATATAAGAAAGACAAAACGGAAGCTACATAAAACCTTTAATACCTTTAATAATGCAGCGAATCATAGGATCAAACTGTGGATGTTTGGCTGCTTTTTAATGTAATGTTGAATAAAATCATCAATCAATCAAAGATAATCACTGATTTCATGAAAACATCTGTATACGACATGGTTAACATGTTCCAGTGTAATCGGTGATGATGTTTTCAGTTTGTGTCTCTACATGAAACCACAGGAGTGGTAATTACAGCCTGTTCTCCACTACAACACTCACTCTCTAATCTTTAAAACTGGCCTTTCACAATCCGTCAGAGTGAACCCTCCCTGCATCCTCAACATCCTCACAATGATGATGATGCTTCTTCTTCTCCTGTGCGTCGTCAGACAGGCAAAGGATCTTTAGTTTCTCGCCGCCTCCGAAATGTTACACAACAGTACCTGCAGCGGCGAGTCTGAGAGTGTTTTCAAAAAGCCATTCAGCAGCCGGCTCATGAGTGCGCACGC